GTCATGTGCGACCGCAATCCCCACGTGCTTCTGCTTATGCCTGGAATGTGAAGCGCAACTGATCTCCACCGGGAGGTACTACATCCACATCAACTCCGATGACGAGGAGGACAACGAAAAGCCCAATGTCTCGGGTGATGCCAGGCGTGCACAAGAAGAAGCCAACCATGATGCGGCAGCACAGGAGGATGATGACGAGGCGGAGGAAGTTCCTGGAGAAGAAGACGACGTGGACACGCAAGGATATACATCCGGCTACGCGTCTGATGAGGAAGACAGCGGTTGGTATTACCGCGACACTGATTTGGCATCACGGGATATCATAAATTCCCAGCGGATGGCGATTTGCCTTGATGAGCCACGCGAGGCTCAGTACATGGCGGGATTCATCGCACTCCAGATGTCCAAGATGTGGGGGATGTTCGAGGGTGGTGAGGAGAGAACGATGAATGCCGGACTCGAGGGGAGGACGGGCTGCCCTTATCACAACGATTTCAAGAGATACCCCAACATCACCGAGCACGATCAGGAAGGTATCCTTTTGCCATCAACAGCGCTGAAGATTTCTCAATCGGAGAATGTTCGGACAAGGGTCTTCCGATCGGTTGAGGAGCGCGAAGATTACATTCGTATGATGGTGTGCAAATGCGAGGGACTATATACATTCTACAAGCTGTGGATCGCAGCGAGAATCCTCGACGTCACCAAGGACGAAATGAAGCTCCTGGTCAAGGACCGAGTGCACCCGGTGGGTGATATTATTTTCAGATGCTTTTCACTGGCTTTCAACTGTAAGTATATATCATTCGTGAGGGATGGCCTGAACCTTGGCAGATATGGTTACGCGGTCAATGTGAGCGCCATCATTTCGGCCATCGACCCGAACAAATGCGACACACCTCTGCTGGATTGGTGCCTTCGGAAAGGGCACTGGTTACCAGAGGATCATAACAAGAAGTGTGTCCGGGCGCGAGAAGCCCAGAAGAACTTGGACGAGGAGTTCCGTCGACGCACTCACAGACTGTCCATTGGGGACAGGTATGCGTAGTGAAGATGCTGATTGCGGCACGATGTGGGTTAGTCCCCATCCGTTGCTTGCATCTCATCAACACCATTGCGATGGAACGACTTTACGTCATGATATGATTTCATGCGTCCAAGATGAATGGATGTGTATATGGTTACATATTCCGACGACTATGACATTCTGGATATTCATGGATGGAGCTATTACCTCATGGATGATTTCCTTTTCATTACGTATATATTGTTCATGGTATCTGGAGTGGCTATGATTTGCATTGGTTGCTCACCGATATTTCTTTGCCGGAGATATGCAGATTGCTTACGAGCAGGCGCCTCTGTTGGACTCTTATGGCCAACCCATTTTCTATGGATGACGGCTGCGCGATGCGCAAATGCGGCAGCTGGGATGTTCACTGGTGGTCAAATGACGTGACAATAGTGTATTGTATACACCTGCATATGGGAGTGCGCTTCGATTGGTGGATGAATGTTTCACTTTTCATACAATCGAACCCGGCATGTTTCACAATGAATGAACGGTGTAGCGATAGCAAGTAAAAGAATGCACGACACGATTTCGTAGCTGAAGCCGTGGCCAGTGGAACGTTTTGTGGTGTTTGGACCGCATGATGAACAATGCGACCCAAATGGGGGATGTTAAAACCCTCTAGGCCCCGTGCCTAAATTGGGAAGCTGTTCTGAGGTCTTGTTGGTGTTGCTTACCAAGTTCCATTGATTGCCATTTGGCTCAAGACACAATTGAGGTTCAAGATCTGATGTGTAGCTGCATTCATACGTGATCGGCATTGAGAGCGGAAAACACTTCGCTTGCGCTGCATTTGTCAGGACCACTGTTGTAACTATCATTCCTTCTCCCTTACAACGTTTACACGGGTTCGGCTATAACGGCATCGTCCGTATACACCTTTCTACGTGGTTGGTATTACAGCTGGAGGGTTCGGTGCATAGCGTCCCACGGGACGTCACCTTGCCGTCTCTTGACAGGTTCAAGTGCACCCACTTAGCACTGTATCCATGCCAGGCACATGGTAAGAACACCCGTTCAAGTGCACCCGCTTAGCACTGCATGCGCGCAAGGCTCATGGTAAGAACACCCATTCAAGTGCACCCGCTTAGCACTGTATCCATGCCAGGCACATGGTAAAAACACCCGTTCAAGTGCACCCGCTTAGCGCTGTATCCATGCCAGGCACATGGTAAGAACACCCGTTCAAGCGCACCCGCTTAGCACTGTATCCATGCCAGGCACACGGTAAGAACACCCGTTCAAGTGCACCCGCTTAGCACTGTATCCACGCCAGGCACATGGTAAGAACACCCGTTCAAGTGCACCCGCTTAGCACTGTATCCATGCTGGTAAGAACACCCGTTCAAGTGCACCCGCTTAGCACTGTATCCATGCCGGTAAGAACACCCGTTCAAGTGCACCCGCTTAGCACTGTATCCATGCCAGGCACATGGTAAGAACACCCGTTCAAGTGCACCCGCTTAGCAGTGTATCCATGCCAGGCACATTGTAAGAACACCCGTTCAAGCGCACCCGCTTAGCACTGTGTCGATGCCAGGCACATGGCACGTCAAGAACACCCGCTCAAGTGCACCCGATCAGGATTGTGTCCATGCCAGTCACATGGTAAGAACACCCGTTCAAGTGCACCCGCTCAGCAGTGTGTCCATAATAAGGCTCAAGTGCACCCGCTCACCACTCTATCCATGCCAGGCACGCATTTTACCCGCTCAAGCGCGCCCGCTCAGCACTGTTTCCATGCCAAGCACATGGTCAGAACACCCGCTCAAGTGCGCCCGCTCAGCGGGTAATGTGTGTGCCTGGCAGGGATAGAGTGGTGAGCGGGTGCACTCGAGCCTTATCATGGACACAGTGCTGAGCGGGTGCACTTGAGCGGGTGTTCTTACCATGTGCCTGGCATGGGCACAATGCTGAATGGTGCACTTGAGCGGGTGTTCTTAACGTGCCTGGCATCGATACGGTGCTAAGCGGGTGCACTTGAACGGGTGTTCTTACCATATGCTGGCATGGATACAGCGCTAAGCGGGCGCGCTTGAGCGGGTGCACTTGAGCGGGTGTTCTTACCATGTGCCTGGCATCGATACAGTGCTAAGCGGGTGCACTTCAACGGGTGTTCTTACCATGTGCCTGGCATGGATACAGTGCTAAGCGGGTGCACTTGAGCGGTTGTTCTTACCATGTGCCTGGCATGGATGCTCAGCGGGCGCACTTGAACGGGTGTTCTTACCCTGTGCCTGGCATGGATACAGTGCTCACGCGAACCCGCTCAGCACTGCGGACATGCCTGCGAAATGGTGAGCACACCCGCTCACCTGCGCCCGCTCAGCAGCGCACCCATGCCTGCCACTGTACTTGGAGGAGTGTGCCTGCTCTGCGGGGGCAGTGTGCCGGGGGAGTGTGCCCGGACGGGGGAGTGTGCCGGGGAAGTGTGCTGGAGAGCATGGTAAGCACGCCCGCTCACGTGCACCCGCTCAGCACTGCGCACATGCTTGCGAAATGGTAAGCGCGCCCGCTCACGTCCGCCCGCTCAGCACTGCACACATGCCTGCCAAGTGGTCAGCACACCCGCTCCTGCCAAATCGCAAACACGCCCGCTCAGCTGCACCCGCTCGCTGCTGCCACATGACAAGCACGCCCGCTCACGTGCACCCGCTCAGCACTGCACACATGCTTGCCAAATGGTGAGCACACCCGCTCACCTGCACCCGCTCAGCACTGCGCCCACGCCTGCCAAATGGTAAGCACGCCCGCTCACGTGAGCCCGCTCAGCACTGCGCCACATGCCTGCCAAGTGGTCAGCACACCCGCTCCTGCCAAATCGCAAACACGCCCGCTCAGCTGCACCCGCTCGCTCTGCTGCCACATGACAAGCACGCCCGCTCACGTGCACCCGCTCAGCACTGCACACATGCTTGCCAAATGGTGAGCACACCCGCTCACCTGCACCCGCTTAGCACTGCGCCCACGCCTGCCAAATGGTAAGCACGCCCGCTCACGTGAGCCCGCTCAGCACTGCGCCACATGCCTGCCAAACGCTCCCTCATGCGCACCCGCTCAGCACTGTACACATACCCGAGACCCAAGACCCAAGACCCGAGACTCGAGACCCGATACCGAGACCCGAGCCCGCTCAGCACTGCGCACATGCCTGCCAAATGGTAAGCACGACCCTCACGTGCACCCGCTCAGCACTGCACACATGCCTCTCACGTCACCCGCTCAGCACTGCGCCCGCCAAATGGTAAGCACGCCTGCTTACGCGCGCCCTATAGATTCGAGATTCGTGACCCGAAGCCCGAGACCCCGAGACCCGAGACCCCGAGACCCGAGACCCGAGATCCGAGACCCCGAGACCCGAGACCCGAGACCCCGAGACCCGAGATCCGAGACCCGAGACCCGAGACCCCGAGACCCGAGACCCGAGACCCGAGACCCGAGACCCGAGATCCGAGACCTGAGACCCGAGACCCGAGACCCCGACACCCGAGACCCGAGACCCGAGACCCGAGACCCCAAGACCCGAGACCTGACACCCGAGACCCGAGACCCGAGATCCGAGACCCGAGACCCGAGACCCGAGACCCCGAGACCCGAGACCCGAGACCCGAGACCCGAGACCCGAGACCCGAGACCCGAGACCCGAGACCCGAGGCCCGAGACCCGAGACCCGAGACCCGAGACCCGAGAAGTGTCGGGGAGCCGCGGGCCCATTGTCAAGTTCGATCTCATATATATGTAGAGAGAGAGAGAGATATGCACATACTCATGTGTGTATATATACATGTGTATATATATATATATATATAAACATGTATATATATATATATAATGCATAGACATACATTCACATCATGAACAAATAAACAAAAAACCACGGACATAAGCCTTCCGAGAAGGTTCCACGTGCGCCATCGCGTCCCGGCGCACTCCGCAGAGGCGAAGGCGGTCTCCAGGCCCAGAAGGGCCAAGAAGGCGGCGAGGCCTCAAACGGTACTGGAGTTGCTTCGTCTACGTTGGAACCCCCCCTTTGGCTTGGACTCTGAAGGGGCAAAAGGAAACCCAAAGACCATTTTAGGGGACCAAGAGGAAGGGTCCCAAAAAGTAGGATGGGCGGGGAAAGTCAAACTAATTGTCATGATCATTGGGGAATGTGCGTTTTTTTGTTTGGCCTCTTCTATTGCTTGTGTAAGCAGGGGTTGTTTTATTGGAAACAAGCCTCAAAAGGGAAATTGGTCAGGTTGGGGCCAACATGCCCACGTTCTTTGTTCTGCGCCAGTGTTCGTGACCTTTTGTTATTGCTTGTTATTTGTTTGAAGAGTTCTTGCTAAGATACCCACTGGTTTGCCCCCGAATATTGTTAACCAAGCATGGTCAAAATATGGACCCCTTGGACGCACCCCGGAACAAAGGCGGTCAACCACTTTGAGATGGTCAAAACATGTTACTGAAATCTCGTTGAACCAGTCTGGGCGCCGAATGAATCGCTGGAGTGGGACTTCTCTGCACCATCCAAAAATCAACGCCACCGTGTTCCGAGGTTGCCTTGGCATCATAGTAACCGCTCCCAAACGTTGCTCGGTGAACAGTACAAGGGTGCGAAAGCTCACGCTGAGCCCCAGACTCCTGGTTGCCGCTTGCCCATCTGCGGGCAGGTCCGCCTCTATGGACCGTGCCAGCAGCAACCGCCTCAAAAACAGAGACAGGGCTCACTAGACATGGCCAGGGCGCCTAATTAGACACCACTTTGGTGTTGACAAGGACAAAATATGCAGCCCTAATCTCAATTGAACCTAGTTTCTGCCGCCAGTCAAGCAAGGTGCCCCAAAATGCGGTTGCCGCACCCAAGGTGGCTTGGCGTTTTCTGATTCAATTATGACCTTCGAGTGGGTATGTGTGCCAACGCACAAATCTCGCAAATCGTGAGAGGGCAAGCTTCTATGGCTTGAATGGATTCTCAGGCGCAATGTGCATGTCTCACAAGCCTCCAGGTTGTTTCCTCTCCTTTGAAACCATCCACAAGGGGCTCGTGGTTTAGGGAAGGCAAGCAAAAAAGACCTCACCGAATAGCTGGGAGCCCGAACCGATACTCGCAGCCACGGTAGTGAGGGCCGTAGACCTCATAGCGAGCCGATGGTTCAATCTTAAAAGGGACGCTCAGGGGCACCGGGCCCCATGGAGGCTCCATATTCGTTGGGAATGATCAGAAGGGTTCTTGGACCGTATCCCCTGCAAGGTCCCCATGCTGAAAAGGGCACAAGGTGCTGTTTAACCCCAAAAAACTCCCGACTCAGTCGACCCTGCAATCAGGGATCCCGCTATTTCTCTTGGCGTAAACACGTTAACGGGATCTGTGAGGTTGCTTTGCAGTTGCCATCCAACCAAACCAAGATCGCACGCAGCCTTAAGAGCTAGCATTGAAATGAGATGTGAGGAAGCACGTTCAATTCCTGTCAGCCTCAAATTTGATGCCTAAGATACCGTTTTAGTTGGTAGCTTCCCCATTAAACCACAACGAAGTTGACAACATGACCAAAAAAAGAAGGTGAAACAAACTGGAAAAAATCCTCTTCTGCTTCACATGGAACCCCCAGATCATGTTTTATTTAAGGAATCTGTTTGTGGGGAGGGACCCAGACCCTGGCCGGGCGGCAACCACCGAGTCACCATCCTGCCGCACCGCTCGGCACCGCGTTTTGTGGCACCGAAGTGGCAGAGACAAGTCGCGAAAGCACAAAGCATGTGCAATGTATCTGACATGTGTATAAACATAATGTGAAATATTCATGATCATGTACAACAGCTCGTTCTCTCTCTCTCTCTCTCTATATATATATACATATGTATGTATGTCTGCATGACTTTTTATATATCTTCTTGGCCTAAACACGGCACGTCTCGAAAATCTCTTCAGGCCTGAAGCCTGCAAACCAACCCGGAATCCCTACCTGCCTGATGATTTTTGAATCTGGTCATATGTTGACAATTGACCAAGCTGAAGTACGATTCGCCACTTTGAAATCAGAATGGGTTGTCTCGTGCAAGGCAAATCCTGTGTGAGGCCGATCGCTTTCATTTGTTCCGTGGGAGGGGTCGACATGACCAAACACGCCCTCTGCAACCGAGGCCCTTGGTGCAGGCAAGGCTACACTTTCAACAGAACTGCTCCCCAGATCAAGATGGGCAGAGGAAACAGGTGGGAACCACTTTTCGGAGCATCCTTGCAGGAGTTCCTTCCGTTGATTGGGAGGAGAATAGCTCGCGAGCCCACGTCGAGAACAAAGTCCACATTTGTCATGTTCGGCTTTGTGCTCAAACTCCGGTCTCACATACTAAACTACTAAGCAAAAACTTGAGGAGCCAAACCCAACACGTGGTGAATTGCAACATCCCAACACATCTGGGCACCAGCAATTCACCCACCCGAAATGCGGTTGGCAGCTCCAACCAGCCCAGAGCCCAGAGCCGACCCATCACCCAGCTGCTGATCCAACCGGCCAACCCATGGTGCACCCGGAGCTCAGCTCAAGCCAACTCTCGTCACCAAAATTCCTGGGGCTTTCGGCCAACCGACCTAAAGCTCGATGTCATTTGCCATTAAATGGGAGCCCAGCATCATAGCCCTGGTTGGCCAAAAAATGGCGGGGGAATCTGGACGTTGTGGGGGCGACCACCCCCTAATCCACGAGCCTTCATGTGGGGACATGGCCCGTCCCGCCTGGTCGTCGCCCTGCATCTCCCGGGTCCGCAAAACCACCGCCACGCGCCGGAAGGGCAGAAAGTGGCCGCAGCAGGCGCCTAACACAAACCGAGCCTTCGGCTCAAGCGGGCCACCCAACGAATCTCAAGCAGGTCTAAACAGTTGTTACAACATCAACTTGTCCGTGCTTCCCTTTTAAGGGTGCTATAGTTGGCATGGTTAAACTAGGTTGTCTCAACCTTGCAAATGTCCAGCTTCCAAGGCCCCTTGAACATGATGAAGTTCCCCCACAACTCAGAGGGCATGATCAAGCTTGTTTTCGAGAGTGGAAAAGAGATTCCAGGTACAACTATCTGCTCACCAGCAAGGACAAAAAACTCCCATCCCGACAAAGAGCTGGGAAGAACCACTCTTGTTGTCCCCTGGTGAGCTCGCAATTAACTTGTCCAGGATTTCGAGTCAGACGTGAGCATCAGAGAAGCACCCAACACGTTCGAACTAAACACAGGCAGCAATGACAAAAACTGGAAGCCGTCAGGGTCAACCGGAAGTTGGCAGATCTGCTCGATTCTCCCAAAAGCTTAAAACAAGAGCATTTCAAGAGTCCCATCCGTTTTTGCCCAGATTCGCCAGTTGCCTCCCCCGTCCTCCCACCCACCCACCCACCCACCCACCCACCCCTTGAACACCCCCACCCCCTGTCCTCGCGGCCAGTTCCTCCACTTTGCACCCGGCTGAAAGGCGTTGAAGGCCGTGCCAAGCACCGCAGCCTCCCGCGCCTCGCAATTTTTGCGCGGCTTGACCGCCGACGTGCCTAAAGAACGCGGCGCGAACCAGACATGTGCCAGGGGGTCCCATGCTTGGACCAAGGTAGACTCAAGCCAAATCCGGGTCCCCTAAAGTCAAGTTCTAGAAGTCTAGGGCCAAAAAATGGAACCCTCGCAAAGTGTGTGTGTGTGTGTGCTGTGCTTGTTGAGGTACGCGTTTCTGGGGGTGGTTCAAAGGACAACAAGCTGGTACTTTCCTGGGAAACTTGTTGCACCCGATCATCACAAGGGCAGAAAGTTCCCTGGCAAACGGAAAACACAAGGCCCCCTTTGACCAATATGGTGTGCTCATTTTCAGGCTGAGAGCAACCCGAGCTCATCAAAACAAAGATCGGAGCTTCCGATCCGATTTCTCCCAACACCCTTCACAGGTCCCAGCCTCAGTCTCGATGTTCCACACCCGCGTTGTGCCATCCACCAGGCAAGCGAGTAGGCGCCCGGAAGGGGTCCAGCTGAAGCCGTGGCTGGGGCAATCCGCGAGCCTTGCGAGAACCAGCGACCCCCAACCCGCCCGGCAGTGACTTGGACGCGGAAACATTCGCAGCCCTCCGAAAAGGCGGTGAGCCTCGCAAATCAAGTCCCACTCTATGACCCTGTGCAAAATCACTTCCAAATTTCTCGCCCCTTCTCCCACACACAACACACCCTGGGACCTGAACGCTTGGAAAGGAACAAAATCAACGGATGTGCCAACTTGTGGGTGGAGAGATCCTTGAGGATTTGACAGGTTCCCGTGGGCCCACCTGTTGTCGATGTGAACGTTTCTGGTCATGGCCAAGGAATGCACACCCCAGACAATGTGGCAAAAGCTGCCCAACCACAAGGAAAACGTTCCACTCAAAAGTGGCATCACGCAGAATCTGCGGGAAAGTTGAACGGTGGATCCAAACAAAGCGCTGTGCCCGCTTCAGCAACATCCATTTGACGAAGGCCCCTGGAGAGAAAAAAACAAGACGACTTCCAGTAGTCGCGGATTCCCTTCAAAACCAACAGAGGAAGATAAAACATATCAGATTCCCCCCCAATTGGTGGTTTGGATTGCTGGTTTGGTGGTTCAGGAGGGGTTTCCCATTTAGCCTCTACCAGAACCAGGGTTCACATCCCCAAACCACCTTTCCAACAACCAATTCGGGGTTACCTGAAGATATGTATCAGCAACTGGAAGGCAAAGGAGTGGTCCTTTGCGCCGAAGCGCGCGTCCAGCTCAAGCACTCCATGGCCCCAGAGCTGCGTGCGGCTGCCTTTGACGCAGCTCTCCGCGTGCAGGGCGTGCGCCACAACCACCAGCCACGCGCCTGCGCAACACCCGCCGCTTGCGCAACCGTGTGGCCTTCCTAAGGGGCCCTCCCCCTTAAGGGGCCCTCCCCCTGGTTTCAAGATGAGTGTTCAAAGGAACAGGAAGGCAAGCTGTTGGATCGTGTAAACGAAAAACAAGAAGACTGAACCTCAATATTGCGCCAGAAACCAGGCGGTCTAACCTTTTCCGGACCAACACCTTACTTGGTTCAATGGCCGTGGGAAAAAGGAAGGACATCAGGGGAATCTCGGAATCTTGCCTAAGGGCATCCTCCCCACCCCCCAAATGTGGCCTGGAGACTTCTCTACACTGAATGGATTCGGTTCTAGTCCAGGTTTGCGGACATGTCGCTGCCATGGCTTGCCTGAAACCCATCATCCACCGAACCCTTTTTTGTTGGCAATGCTCCCGGCCCACATGGGATGCAAATTCTGGACAGGGTGGTTATCAAAATTAGGAACGCCTCTGAGGTTCCTTTGGCTGACCCTTTAACATCCCATTTGGCCATGGGTCAAAAGCCCGTACCTCCAGTGAACATCCCAATCCCGACAAAAATAGACTAAAATGGTGGTGCACCTACCCCAAAATGGTACCATTGGTTTTGACCCACAGCCATTTGAGAAACGCGACTTCTCATTCCCAGGACTGGGTCAAGCTCTGAGAGAGCTCGAGATTCTGAAACGGCTCCCCTTGGAAGTCAAGCAGTCCAACCAATTTTGCTCGGGGCGCCATCCTTCTTCGACACACCAAAAAGAAAACAGAACAAGGAAGACTCGAAGCTCCCCCAACCCCTCGGACCGAATTACAACCCCCTCAGCACAGCCTCAGTCCCCAATGGCACATGTGTCAACACTCTTTCTGTTGGGTCCGAAATGTCATTTTGATGACGAACTTCCTTGACCAATGTCCCATCGTGTTCGGCACAAGATCCACATCTTGGCCGCTGTCCTATTGGGTTTGGCCATGGCCGCCCAATCCCAGCGCTTGCCGAGCCCGCGGCCATCTGGAGACCAACCGTGCGTCGTGCAGAAAGAGCCCTGCGGGTCATCAGGTTTTGGTGTGTGTCCAAAGAGGGGACGCCTACAAAGGGCGGCTGTCCTTCTGGTGTACCCTTGCATCGAGCAAAGGGTACCCTCCAAAAAACTCTCTCTCTCTCTCTCTCAGAGTTTGGATGTCGAAACTTGTTCACTCAAAACGATTCTAACATCGACTCGCGACTGTCAAAACCACCCCTTGCCTACAAAACACCGCTCCGAGGCCCTTGAGTCACTTGAGAAGATGCCACAAAACCGCGATCAGAACAAACGCCATTCCACATGTTGGTAACTGAAATGTGGAGCTGCAGAAACGTGCCCATGGGTAAAAAGCAATCACCAGATGCGCGAACCCGGATGCAATCTGGACCGCACGGGCAGGAAGTGACCCCACGGTGGGTGAAGTGGTTTCCATGGGTTCGGGCCACGTGCGTGATAACATGGATTGGAATGGATTGGAGATAATCCAAGTATGGCCATGTGTCAAAAGCCCGTACCCCCAGTAAACATCCCAATCCCCACTAAAATAGACTAAAATGGGTGGTGCACCTACCCCAAAGTGGTACCATTGGTTTTGAACCACAGCCATACGCACCCCAAATCGATCTCAGGTGATCCAATAATACTCAGGTGATATCCCCAACAGCGTGGAACCCTGGTGGAACCCTGGTGGAACCCTGGTGGAACCCTGGTGGAACCCTGGTGGAACCCTGGTGGAACCCTCGTGGAACCTTATCTCAGGGCCGCCCCGGACCACCCCGGAGCCTATCTGGGCTGAGACCCCAAAGCTTTCAGCTGTTGGGGAAAAATGGCGAAAGCAAGCTGCAGGCCAACGGAAGTGCGAGCCCAATCACGCCAGTGATCCACAGACGGATCCCAAATCAGGATAAATCATATCCAAAGAATCTCCAAGATAACTACAAACCTGTACAGAGCAAGCGAAACGTGCCATCCTCGATCCTCATCAATGGAGGCAGGACCAAACCAGTGGACTCTATGCAAAGTGATCTCAGAAAACATGGGCGAGCATTGCAATCCTGAGTCCACAGTGATTCAAACCGCGTGAACCCAAAATAGATCCCAAGTTGAATCGGGTCGACCAAAACGGGCAAACTGGTCCAAAATGCAAGAGCGGGGTGGGTGAAAAACGCGATCCTCAGTCGAAAACCCCGATGGCTGTTGCTGTCTGAAAACTTTAATGTTGTGCAAACAAGACCTGTCAAGAGTCAGCAACCTGACTCAGCTTGCGAGAGCTGTCATGTTCAAGCACGCATGCACGCCAAAACGCTGCAACGCGCAACATAAATAGACTCTCAAGCAGCGGGCGAGAAGCGCCTATCAGTCTTGAATAAGCCGAGCAGGTTCCCTCTTGCTTTAGCACCCTTGCGCCCTTTCTCCGCGTTGCGCTGATTGGTTTGGAGCAAGGTCCTTGGAATCAAGGAGTTGTGTGTATGTGTCAAAGCTAGGGGTCATTTGGGTAGTTGGTTCCATGTTGACTTCTCTTTTGCAACCGTGCCTGTCGGCAAGGAGTTTCGTTGTGCAAAGGGCTTCGTTACGAGGATCTCTCCAGCGGGTGTCGCAAGTTTGAGACAGGTGGCGAAGCCGCCTCTTGAACTAAGCGAGCTTTAGCCAGCGTCGATGAGACTAGCGGGGAGATTGCCAGGTCGCTGGATCATGCTGGTCTTGCGAAATCTTGCTTGGCTCCATCCCCGGCATCCCCAATCTCCCCAGCATCACATTTGGTCTCAACTGTGCAACATGTGCTAATGGCCAAATCAACAACATTTCCGTGCGCAGACCTTGCCTTGTCAACGTTCTCTGTCTCCGTCTCCGTGTCTGTCTCTCTTGTGTCTGTCTCTTATTCATCTGCCTTGCCAGCGCAGTTGGAGCAAAGCCCTCGAATAAGTACGGAACCACAATTGGACGCAGAGTTGTATCTTGCGTTCTCGCATTGAGTCAGGGAAAACCAACAAGGCAATTGACCGGACTGTCCAAAGAATAGAACAAGATATAGCGGTAGTAGCTTTTTTAATCGATTTTTTCGTAATAATAATGGTAGTAACCTCACTCTCCGAGCCCCCGCCTCCACCTGAACCTCCCGCAGCTCATCTCGCCACATGCGAGCCGGCGGCCAAGCAGCCAACACCGATGCGGGCAGCGCCTGCCAGCTCTGCAATGACATGGAACCCAAGGAATGCCCCTGGGAGATTCCTCAAATCATGGTATTTCAAGATGGGATTTTGGATGGTCTCATGTTCATCAGAAAAATAGGCCAGAAACGCAATGCCGAAGGCCAGAAATGAGCTGCCAACCCTACAATCTATCATTCAATGAAACATGGTTTGGACATAAATCCAACCATATAAATGATGTCCGCAGGGGCCAACCAAGAAAAAAAGATCGATAGTGGTGACTTGATCTGCGTTTCTAGATCGGAAAACTGTCTGTGACATGCACACTTGCCCTTATTTTCGTTTGGGCATGAACTAGCTGCAGGGGATGTCCCTTGAAATCAAGTTTATCTCCACCCCCCCTCTCTGACTTTCCCTCCTTTGCAACATCCCAAGTCCTTCTTCGGGTTTCCTCCTTGCGGAGTATGGCCTTCCCCCCCCCCCAACAAAAGGAAAAGGTTGGGAAGAGACTGTGGAAAAACACCAACCAGACAGGAACAAGGGGGCTTCCGCCAAAACACATGGAAGGCGCGCCCAGCTTCTGGTCGCCTTCTCCTCCTCCCCCAGCTTCGCCGCCAGCCGCAGCTTCCCCTCGTCCGCGCCGCAGACCCGCAGGCGTTCCAGCGGCGCGGCCACCAGGCCGCCGCCTGGAAGAAGCGGTGGCAAGCAAAAACCTTCCATTTGCTTCAGCCTGGAGAAGAACATCTCCAGTGATAGATTCCCTTTAATTGTTAGACGGAAAAATACCACATCCTCTTCCATTTGCTTCAGCCTGGAAAAATAAAAATATCTCCAGTGATAGATTCCCTTTAACAATTAAGAGGGGGGAAAAAAGCAAAGGAGAAAACACATATTCTTATCTCAAGTGGAAGAAACCCCCCGGCTTGGCGGCTGATGGTTTTGCGTACATGGGAATCATGAATCCCTGGCTGACCGTGGCTTTCCGGTGGACCATGGTTTTGCGGTTGAGAACCTTTGGATGCTTCGGACTGTGCCCATCCACGACTCCTGTCTTCTTAGGAGTTGTCTATGACCGTTGCAGGCACCACACATACCATGTGAGTCATAAATCCCTCTAAGCTCGTCGGAGTCTATGGCTCCTGTGCTTCAGCTCATTCCCAACAGAACAGAATAGCCTGGACCAGGCCCAAATCCTCAGGCCCTCACAAAACTCGAATCGCGACTCCGGCTCGCGCTGTCGCGCCTTTCGGCGCCATCTGGAGACACCAGGTGTCCATGCGCACGTCCAGACTGCAGCCCGGCAGCTCGCGCAGCGCCTAGACCCGCACCGGGCGGGAGCAGAAGCCGAGGGCTCTTTTCCGGGCGGCCCCTTGAAACAGTCAAGGAATGAGGCGCAATGTCCACCCAAGCTCTAGGTATGGCGGAAGGGAGTCGTTCTCATGTGGGAAGGACAACGGCGATAAATGATTGAAAGCGGCCAAAATGACTATGGAGTGCCATGTAAATGAGATCATGCAGAAAGAAGTGTCCAGGTGCGAAGAGAGAGAAAGAGCACAACAACTCGTTCCCTTGCTTGCGCGAAAAAGCTTAGGTTGGACAGATTCTTGAGCACATGACTCCACCTGCAGGTGCAACTAACGAAGCATGCGTCCACTGATTTACTGGCTGTATGTGTAGGATCGCTGGCCTCGAAAAGATACGGTGCTTCGGCTTTCCTTGTCGCACTTGCGTGCAAACCAGGCACATCTGCTTCACCGGAACGCACACATAAACCCAGTCAGAAGCCACAAATCGGCAACCAGGTTGGGCAATCTTCTGATGATGTTGCTGTTGCTCCAATTCTGGACGCTTCCTATCAGCCAGCTTGCAAGCAAGGAGACAGCTGAACAACTGGCAAGCCCGAGGCAACACTCAGCTCAATCTGAGCTATTCAGCCGATGATTTAACTGTTCAATGCAGCAAATATGCTGGACAAACCGTCAGAGATGAAACCTAGAGGTCAGAAAGGAACATGGCTATCTATCTTAGGTGCTCGTCATCATCCACATGCAAGCACGACTTTAGCCGAAGCGAAGTGGCGAATGGAACTAGAAACAGACCTGATGTGTCCGAGGCTCCGCCACCTGAATGGCCCCCTCCTCGTGTACCACAGACCAAATGGTCACCTGCACACGTTCCACAGAAGTCAGAAGCAACTAATAGCACGGAAGCCTACCTAAAGCACATGCAAAAGCATCAAAAGGATGGCTTTTGGCACAATTGATGGCAAGGGGCTGAACAATACTACGTAGCCTTCATCTCCCTGATTTGGTTGTGCCTCTGCCTAGATGGCTGCAATTCCCTCTTGACTCCGGACCTGTGCCAATTCGCAAACGAGCTTGGTTGCTAACTGGGCGACGAGCAAATGCACTTGCCAACTAGCCAACTAGCTAAATAGCTGACTAGTTAACCAGCTAACAAGCTAGCTGAACCAGCTGGCCAGCCAACCGTGACGAGAGGAACGCAGAAACAATGCGTGCATGCGGGTGTGCGAATTAACAAGCGACCCTACAGCTGATTCATTATTTTGCTCTGCGGGACTTTTCTGGTATAAGTACGCTCTCTCCCCTTTGAACCTTCAGCGCGGTATCGGCAGTTTACTCCTTAGTTCTCGCTTTACAGCTCTTCAAACCTTGAAGCTTTTGAGCACAAGTGTAGTATGTAAGAAATGTGTCAATAGTTCCAGCTTGAACATCGCAACTTTCCAGTACAAGTGTAGTATGCTAAGCAGGGTTTGGCGCAAGCAAAGGCGCAGTTCTGGAACACATGTTCGGAGCTGAAGCTAGGAAATGAACAAATAAACACAAGCGTAGCAATCGAAGAATAGTTTGGCTGCTCAAGCTCGATAACCTACTGTACATCTTGCAGGGTCAAGAATGCCCACTGTACACCGTGGCAGGTCCAGGTCAGAAATCGCGACTGTTCGGCGCGAATGCGGTACACTCTGCAGCTCAAGCTCGAAAGCAACTTTCCAGCACAAACACATGTGAAAGAGACGCGCCTTACCAGCTCGAAAAAAAATGCCTCAACACATGGGTAGCACAACTGAGCCAAGTTTCAGAAACCAATGCTATCGTTTCCCTATCGCTTTGTTTTCGCGATGTTGCGTGTTCGGGTAGGGTCTTGACTTCACACGCGGCAATGCTTGGTTGGTGCAAATATTCCAACCCTCATGTCCGCCGCTGAAAGGCTTCCCAGAATAAAGGACAGACAAGGAGGTCCGCACTTCTAGCAGGCCATCAATAAGTAGCATGGTCAAAAACTATTTTAATGGCAATCCTCATGATAGTTGTCTAAAAAGTCCATACTCATGTGAAGGGTCCAGGAGCTTATGACCAGCTGACACAGAAGTGTGTGCATCCAAGCAGGCAAACGGACAGAGGCAAGGATGAATTGCCCCCTTGGGCCAATCAGATTGCCCGTCAGGCTAAAGCTTCACATCTGGGCATGCGAGCAACATCAGCAGGCATGGCTGTCATTCTTCTAGCCATTGTCTTGGCACAGTCAGCATGAAGCGGGCAACAAACAGGTTCGCCGTCACACATCGAGACATCAGATGAGCCGACATCGGCAACAAATGGCAGTTGATAGGTTGTCACAAGTGGTTGCTTCCGAAGACGAGCTTGACACCCGTGCTCGCCTCAGCACAAATCCTTTCTTGCGAATTCAAGCTTTGGGTCTGCCACTTGCTCAATGCTCAAGGTTTGCTTTATTGGATTTAACACCACCAAATACATGTCCATAACTAGAATATTCTAGCTATGTTTCAGCACAGACTTAAGTATATCGAATCCCGAGTCCCGTTATGCGGTAAGGCCAAGGGAAATGGTGGTTCTTCCGAATCAAGATTCATAGCCACCTACCAAGAAACACCCCTTGAAAATGGCCCCAGGGGCTGAAACTGCACGCCCTGGCCGCCTGGCCACTGCTCCGCACCGCTGCCAGGCTGCTCCCTGACCAGGCGGCGTGGCCTTGCGCAAGTGCGAAAGGATGCCAGGGATGCCAGGGATCCGCGAAATTCGTCCCTGGGAATCTCATGAAATGAGGGACGAATTTAGTGGGGACGAGTAGGGACTAACCTTATGATGAAGTGGTAGGTTTAACCAGTGTCATTGCTGGCAGGTTTAACCAACATGGTTTAGTTGGTAGGTAATAATAACAATACACTAAGTCAGTTTGTGGGTAGAAGTGAACATCATGGGATTTATGTCCAGGTTGCTACAGGAGTCGTTGTATTTCCAAACATTGCACCGGTTCCGCAGAACACCTTTCAACGGGGAAACTGTGCAATCGCTGCTTGAACAAAGGGGGAAACAGGCCTCTGGGCAATCTTGGGGGAACTCCCACTCTTAGTAAGCTTCTTCGGATTTTCGGATACTGTTTGAGGAGGAAGTCCCTAAATGCGCAGGGGATCTCTAAAGCTGGTACCTCTTGAGAAAGCCGTGGAGCTGACCATTCGGTAGCCATGTATCGTGAAACTCCCACCAGAGAAACCAAAAAGCACGGGGCCTTCCGGACCACAAGTCAAGACAGCCCTGTTCAAAGCTCCCTGGAAAACCTGGAACAAAAGGCGCTCGCGGGCAAACAGGGATGCTACGTCTTGTTTGTGTCCTTTCCATTGACTCGGCAAAGGCGGTCACAAAAGTCTGCATAGGAACAGGAGACCCCCAAATGTTTCAGCTTCCTTGTGTTTCCCTTCCACCTCCAGAAAGAGGTCCATCCAAGTCACGCCAGAAAGCTCAGGTCGAGCTCCCAATTCAGGGGTTGCAACATGGACCCCCCGACCTTCCAGGCCCCAGGCTGGAGTCGGCAGGGCTCAATGGAAACCCCCCACTTTGACGTGCCTGGAAAAGCCAAACCAGAGAACCAGCTAACTAAACACATGGATCCACTATTCCTTGGAACCACCACCCCCTCTTGTAGTGCTGACCCGGACTGTGAAAGCCCTCAAACCCCATGTCCAATCGCCGAGGCGCAGGGATGACCGTCCAGAGGCAGCTGCTCCTGCGCGAGGGGGAGCAACCGCGAAGCACGGCCTTTTGTGGAGCAAGGAGACAGGTCCAATGGGGCTGCTGTTGTTTGCCACTTGCCCCGAGCCGTGCCGGGAATTGGTTGAAGCCGGAGCCCCGAGCCGTGCCCAAAACCTTTTCAGCATCGTGGGGAGGTCCGGCAAATGGACTGATTGTTGGGTTCCGAAGAGATGCAAGTGGTGTCTGGGGCCCTTGGAGGGTGAGGTTTTGGCCACGGACACCCTCTACAGGTCCTTGGGTTTGACGCATCCCCAGAACAACTTGGCTGAAACTTCTGTCTGAGTCTTCCAGCCTTCCGCTCGATGCGCTCAATTTGAGCAACCACGGAGGGTGTTTTTGTTTCCTTTTTTTTTCTTCTTTTTTTTTCGGGAGACCATGACGTCTGTTTTCTGCATTCATTTTGGACTAAGGCCAAAGAGTGTGGAGCTCTTAGCCACACAACTCTGGGAAGGCGCCGAAACCAGCTGCCCTGCAAATGACCAGTGACATGTTGCCGCAGGTCACGTCCGAAATGAACCAACCACTGCATCAGATTTGATCAACACTTTGGACCGTATCCCACCAACTACCCTCGATTGTGGTGCAACTGGAGTTCTGGAAGATGTTCCTCCAAAAGGGACTCTCTGGCGGGGTACTCTTGGGTACAAGGCTCTCGGTCGCAATTTAGGCTTCCGCACCATGGTCAGCGGGTCTGTCATTGCCCAAATTCGCCTTGGAGGAAGTGCGGGCCTTGCCCCCCGATGCCTAGACGACCCATGTTTCAGCTATTCTGGGTGAACGATAGTTCGGCAGCCTAAAATAAGGGACCCACTAAGAAGGAACCTTCAAGGTGGGTAAGGTTGCAAAGCCCCTTGATGAGGTCACTGTAGTTTGCCAGACTGTGTAAACATCTCATTTAGGCTTCGTTTTCAAAGGGTGCATGGTCTAGGCAACCTGAGCGAGAACGATATCAGCAAAGTGGGAGGGGTGACGGCAGCACCGCATGCCGGGATACCCTCACATTGTCTGGGGGACTGTATGCAACAAGCCTTGGCAAATGAGCCTTCCTGACTGGGGCACTTCTACATTAGTTCGGTTGCATGAGTCCTCCTTTATGGGTAGCCACTGATGTATGACACTGGTGCACACCTCATTTGGAACTTGGAGGCTCTATACCTCTATACAACAAGCACTGCTCAAGTGCCTCCCTTGGGAGCTGAGAAGCACGGTTCAAACCAAGCAGGATGTCAGCAGAAAGGGGTTTGAAGGTTTAGCCCTGCAGCAACACTTCTTCTTTCCACAGCGCTCCGCCTGATTTTGCCTTGCAAAACAGTTGTGCAGCTCAGCTCAGCAGCAGGCCATTAAGCCAAAGAAAGCTGGTCACGTCTAACCATACACAAGCGAGGGAAGGGATGTCCTGGATCATTCAGGCAGGCGCAGAACTTTCATTCCTTGACAGGCGGGGTGACCCATGTTTGGAATGTTGTGAAGGGACCACCCCGATCTCGACCAAACACCCAAACGCCATCGACGAGGCAGAACGTCGATGCGGGCAACAAAGAAGCAATGTTGCGGGTCAGACTGGGGGAAGGGCTGCGTCTTTTGGCCGTTGGAATTTAGAGATGTCCGGACCCCATGACCGTAGACAAAACAGGAAACATTGACTGAGCTTCATGATTGGTCCTTTGGCTCCCGGAGTTGAGCATGGAGCATGCCGTCCCATGTTGCGGAAGCCAACTCCACAGCGCCCGTTTACCGTGCTTTTCCTGCAAGGTTGGCATGTGGGACCCCGAAATTGACCCAGGGCCTCAAACAAGGTCCACTTGCACCGCGGGTACCTCTCACCTTGGCATCGTTGCGGAAAAGCTTTCAGGAGTGCCTAGTAGACCCCCATTCGGGCGCCGGAACAGGTGAGTACACCGCCGGATGACCTAGGTTTGTCTCAAAATTGGATCCGGAACCCCTAAGTGCACTTTCCTTGCTTTCCCTTTCTGGCGCTTTCCCTTGTTAGAAACCAACCAAAAAATCCTCCAACCCCAAACCCACACACTCACATCCACCTCCCGTGTTCTCAACTCCCACCCCCCACAACCCCACAAGGTCCCGGCAGAACCGGGTCCGCGCCGAAACCTGGGCGCAGCCGAAGCGCCCAGCCGCTGGGATGGAGCTGGAAGTTGGGGGAAGGCCCCCAAGACGGCCGTCCCGGAAAAAAGGGGGAAAAAAAAAACGGTTGCTTTGGGTTCCAAAGGGAAGTCAAGGATGAGTGATATGTAGTTTGTGCGTCGCAACCAGGCAAGGAATAGCCCATCTGGGCTTGGCCCCGATAGACAACCCACAGGACATAGGAGTTGTCTTCAAATGCGGGAACTCAGATGGTGTTCCTACCGCGTCCTTTCAAACCACCCCATGGCAAACCCCAAATAAGCTTCTACAAGTTTCTACACCTTAAAGGGCACCACCTTCAAGATGCCAAACCCAAGGGCACATGCTTTGCCCCACTGAGAAGCAAGAATACTTCACTGGTCGTGACCACAAGCAAAAGTGCGGGTTGCAAAAAACCAGTTCAAAAGGGAGCCTTGGCCAATCCGATCCATCCCGATCGTGATATCAGTCGATTAGACACCCAAACAGCACTTGCATTCGACCCCATGTTGCAGTCAATAGGTGCATTCATTGCTTCCTGGTCCGCAGACATGCACTGCGGCCAAGCAAATATCTAAGATAATTTCGACTGTCCCAAATCACTACCCCCCAAGGGTTTAATTGGAGCACAGTCAATTCATGACCACTATATACTTCATATACCCGATTCCCCTGTAACTAGTGGTTTCGAGAGAGTAGAGGGTCCAAGGCAACTTACTTTTCAGTTCCAGCACAAACTACACTTGCACGTGTTGCCGTCCCTCTCAGTCAAATGGACCTCTGGGGCGCAACTTACCCAGAGCTTGGGCATTTTTGGGATTGGCAAGCATTGTGGGGTTTGGGGATTTGCCATTGTAGGGTTTAGGGTTAGGGCTTGGTGGTTTCAAGGCTCAGCCGTTTTCAGGCTTAGGGGTTTAGGGACCTGCTGACCTCGATGGGAGCACTTGTGATTCGCATTCCTCACCGTCCAACATCCCAGGCAATCGGGTACGCAGCGCCTTCTCGCTCAGAGCAAGCTATTCACTCATGGCGTGCTGCACAAGGAGGCATAGCTGCCATGTTCATCGTCCTCAATCTTCATCTTGGGACAGCTGCCAAGTTTCTGTGCAAAGTCGCCCCTGTCGGACAGCTGAGCTGTAGCGCGACTGGGCGCTCAGCATTTTGTAAACCCGTGGGCGTTGGCAGACAGGAGCATGGCTTTCTGGCTGGTCAAAGTGAGTGTGGTCTGCTTCATTTCTCGTCACAACGTAGCGTACCACAGCTGCTTGTGAGGGATGATCTTAGTTCTTTCCATCAGAGAGAAATCATCTGGAACCCAATGAGAAGGGACCTCCATACAAAGAGTGACACAGGCCTCAAACATATGGCCCTCTCGCTGCCGTTCGGAAATCCGGAGAGCTCGAGGTTTCGGCCGTCAAAAACCGAGTTCAAAAGGTCCAAAAGACGTAAGCAGGGAGGCCCTTAACGACCTGCAAGTGAATGAACGTTGCGAGTTCGCGGGGGAAAGCCAACTATGTCCAAAAGGCTGGAAGGCCTTTCTCCGGTGCCAACGGCTTGCAACCGGTCACAGAGGGTCAGTTTCCCACACAAATCTGCTGTTCGCAGATCAACTTGAGGATTCTTAGAGGAATTCATCTTTTGTGCTCTATGAGGCTATGAGGACCGAAATTGGGGATGGCATCCCCATTCAGAGCAACAAAAAGTCGAACAACCCCAAAAAAGAACAAGACAAACTCCGAAACACTTAAGCAATAAACGCATAACAAAACAAAACTAAACCCAACAAACCCCCAAAAGCCTGAGCCGAGCCGCAGGGCCAGGCCGCCAGCATGCCCTCGCCGCTCCAGCAGGCACCTCGCAGCTTCCATGCGTTCCCCAGGGCACTTGTCCGAGATCGCGGAGGGGCGTTGTCACTTTTCCAAAACGGTGAAGGCTGATCGCAACTTGGTGTTATGAAGTCAGGGGGGGCGGTTGGCCAGTTGGCGCAAAAGGCAGCCCCGGGGAAGCGGGGTGATTGGTGTTCCTTTGTTCGCCTGGTTGTTTCTACTAGAGAAAACATGGGGTGGATGTTGTTTGTCCTTTGCACTGGTTCTCTTCCTGCAGATGAGCCTCATGTTGACCCCGGATCAACACTCCCAATGTCTCAAGGGCCATTGCTCCATCCAACCCCGCGACCCCAGGCCCAGTGCCGGGAAACGGTCAGACCCCTTCAAAAAAGGGATCTCGCGCTCCTCTCAAAAAGGGGTAAAATCCGCCACTCAAAGCCGATCCAACTCCGGTCAAATCCCTCTAGAAGCCGGTCAGCCCCTGGAAACTAACCCGCAGAAGCCAATCAAGAAACCGATCAACCACGCCTGGCTGTTGGGGCAGTCTGGGTGGCTCCGGATTTCATGGGGGCAACTGCCATCCTTGTAGGCAATGATCGCATTCCGACCTTGTCATCCAGCGCCGGATGCCAGAGGTCCGCGTTGCGGTTTTCCCTGTCAGCTCCAAGTAGAAAGTGGTTTTGGCCAACTTCTCCCCTACGTTTGCGCCAGGTCGGCATTCAGTAGGACGTGGCCTTTAAAGGGTTTAAGAGTGAATCAGGTCAACGATCATCATGCTTTGAGGGAGTTCTGCGACGCCTAAAATGACTCCTATATGCCTTCATGCTTCTATCTTCTTGGATGAGGAATCTCCTTTAGAATGAAGACGTGATGAACAGTGTCTCAACCGGGTCCGTTAAGTGACACCGGGATATGGAATTGAAGGCCTAAAGTTGATGGCCGCTTGATCGATTTGAGAAAGCCTCAAAATGGGCCCTTTCTCCGTGCAACTCAACTGCTTTCAATGGCCCAGTCGAGCGCGCTTCTTGCGCTGAAATGTGACACAAGTGTCAACGAATTCCTCAACACCTTCTTCAGACACTTTCTTCTGACATGCTGTGTGAAGGCTACTAGATCACTCAGCGTCCTGATCGGACCAGCTGCTCCGTCTCCTGGCAAGGCGCGGTCGGGCTGCAGGTTGAAACGCAGGCCTGAGACGGTTTTTCTCGTCAGATTCCCAGACCTTAGTATTTGGCTGTTCAAAACCCTTCAAAAAAGGAGTCAGTACAAGCTTGCAATAACCTGCAGCCTAGCTGCCCGCGATCTATCCCAAACCCATTCACCTTCACTCTCAGGCTCCTGCGAGTCCAGGAGTGTCACGACACGTGGAGCATGATGTGTCTGCCTCAATGTTGTGCGTCTTATTCATGGTTCTTCTGGCCGGCATGTCATGCCTGATGCGTGCTTTGCAACACGCTGTGATGCGACACGTTTGCGAGCACATTGTCGCGCATTGGCGCGCACAGCTCACCTGTTCCATGTCTCTCCTGGCCAAGCCATGTCAGGTCCGTCACAGCTCACTGATGCTCACTGCCTCAGGCACGTCGCAGGTTGCAGTCACGGTTCCTCGACCAGACGTGCCGGTGACAGCTGAGCCCCGTGCCTCATGCGGTAGTTCATGTGGGCTGCAAGCTTCCACCTTCATGTGTGCCCCCAAGGAAAATCAACAGGTCACATGAACAGGTCGCATGCCTGGCTGTCAGCAAGCTCAATCAGTGTCTCCTGCAAGGAATGTCATCATGTGGCAGTTCATGTGAGCTCGTGCGGACGGTTGTCACACGCGCCTCATGCAGATCATGCGCCTTGCTGTCAGCAGCCTCACGCGCTTTTAGAAGGCATGTCACATGAAATGCAGCGCCTCATGTGCTTGGATGTTCGCGGCTTCGCACGGTGTCTCCTGTAGCCAACGCGCGCATCATGTGAAGAATCTAGTGTTTCAGCTGCCTCATGTGGCAGTGCAGCATGTGCAGCATGCCATCAGCAGGCTCAATCACCCCTAGAAACTGTTCAACTTCCCATCCCCAACCCTCTAGAAACTGGCCCAACTCCGGTCAGAAACCGGCTAACCGGTCACATTCCCCACCATAAACCTATTCCATTCCCCCAAAAACTGTAGAAACCGACCAAATCCCTCTGGCCAAATCCTTCCAGAAACCGGCAAAACCCCCCCCCCCCCCCAGCGGAAACCAGTCAAATTCACCTTCGCTTGGCCCAAGCTCACTGCCATTCTGTAGCTCTCTGCAGCTTTCAATTTGGCCCCTTGAAGCCAACAGGAGTCGTGCCCCTTGAAGCCAACAGGAGTCGTGGGCCTGAGGTACAATCTTGTCCTTGCTAAGCCTATTTTTGAAGACTTCCACCATTGGAAGGATCAGTGAGCTTACTCCAATGTCAAGGTCTTAGCGCGAAGCATCTCAGCGGCGTGAAAGTGTGTTTTCGACACCGGGGTTACCTTCTCAGCTGGTTGTTGCTCCAATCGTCTGACTTCCACCATGGACGGGCATGCAGTAAAACCAGTGAGCAGGCCAGCAATGAAATAGGATGCCACCTTCTCCGTGGTGTTTGAAAGGAAAGGGGAGAAATTCCTAGGCGTCCCCTACAAGTCACACACTGGAAAAGGTCACAAGCCAATCAAACGGTTGTGCCTCAGGTATTCCCTCTCCATTACTGACAAGACCCTTTCTGTGAAATATTCCCGTCCCCACCGCGTCAAGAAAAGGTGGGTACCTACCAAGATTCCTTGGAAAGCATACCCAATTCCCTACGGAAAGTGGCAACCTACTGTGGATGGACAAATTCCTGCACCACCTAAGAAGCCCTGGAATGCTGGTTCCCATACAAATACCAGCAAACAATGATTTCGCCTCTTTTCAAAGAGGTGCGAAATGGATTTCGTCCATCCACCCTCCCTACCGAATTGCCTTGACCTAAAACCGACCATTCACGCCACAAACCGCCCCCCCGCCCTTCCCCCCCTCCCGCCTCGCACCGGCGCCGAGGGCGCCTGCATGAGCGTCTCCAACTCCCCGCCTCGCCGAGCGACGCGAGTTCTTTCTTGCGCGTGGCTTGGGACCGTTTCGATGGCTACAGGGAAAAAGCTTAAAGCAAACCCAAAAGCCGAAAGCAAACCCATGTTCAGGCTTCCAGGGGAAACTCCTATGGACAATAATTAATCATTCACCAACCAGAGAGTGAAGGGTAGGCACAGAAAACAGTGAACCCAAACAAAAACCTCGGAAAGCGTTGAAGACCCAAGCAAATGGCAGGGGTCTTTGGCCAATTCTCCCAGATCTTCGACTGAAACTGAGAAACTCTCATGGGTCCAAGAACTAGCCAAACGGTCGATTCAGAAGATGATCGGATGTTTATCTTAGGGGAACCACGCCCAAAACCTGGCTCAAAATTAACCAGGAGGGGTTACGCAGGTATTGGTCCATGCTTCCACTTACCAGGGTTCCATTTTGCTACCGGTTTTTTGAGCCACAGCCATGTGTGTTCGGGAAACCACCCCAGACAGCGTTCACTTTCAAGGCGCACTCGTCACTCCACCGCGTCCCGCGCCTCGCCAAAGCTTCAGCGCCTCGCGGCGCCACAGCGCCAGGGCCGGCGAAGCCGGCGACCAGCGGAGCTCCGGGAATCCGCCGAAGCCTCAGGAGATGCCGAGCTTGCCCCCGCAACCTCCACATACCCGGCCTTTGTTCAGGGTATCATGTCGACCCTCTACTAAAAAAGGAGGTATTTACCATGGAAAACCAGGCGTTCACCGAAAATACCCTGAAAAAAGCGGGTATTTTGAGTAGGGGGTAGTAGTCAAAAAGGGAAAGAAAGGAGTGAAAGGTATACCCGAGAACAATCTCATATCATGATTTGAGCCACTTTCTTTCTTGGAGTCTACCCCTGGGACCTGAAGGGTTCGACTAAGCTTCAGCTTCTACCAAGGTTCCGGTTGCAATGTTTGCAGGGGTACCAAAGTTTGTCAAGCCCTGCTGAAGTTCAAATGTCCTGGGTGGTTAAGACACAAAAGGGAGGGTGTCGTGCACTTGCGTCCTGGTACAGGTAATGTTGGCTGATCCATTCGAATGGCTGAATGGCTCCTTTTTTCATTTCGGGTTGAGCATTGCCAGCGGCAAACGTCAGTCAGGATCGACAGCCAGTTTTTCTCGAATATTCAGGTACTTGGCGGTTCAGACTTGCCAGCGGAGCTCCTAAATTCAGGTGGCATTATTGTGTAATCCAGTTGTAAACTTGTTTTATGAGATACCAAGTTCTAGAGGACACACGAATACTTGCGGGTGTAACTAAATAAGGTGGCAATCGCATGATGTGTAAATCGGCAGCTCGCTTTCCAAAGTGAGACTAAGCCCCTTTCTGGCAGCCCTCCCAAGCACGCGCGTGAGAAAAACATCACCGGTCGGTGTGATCTTAACTTGGTCAACCCTCGACTTAGGATCTATCCCTTTACCACCATCATATTTTCTTCCAAGGGCAAACATGAAAGATGTGGCCAAACGCTGACCCAGCGAACTCCGGGTATATCAACCGGCGGACTATTTGGGGGCAAACAAATAGTGATCCGGAAGCCCTCATACAAATGGGACACACCCCATATTGAACCACGGGTTTGTGAATCCTGGACTCCCTTTGACTTTTGCCAGCTCTGCTCGTTTTTTTTCTGGTGCCCAAACTGCGCGCGCAATTTGGGCATGGCTAGCAAACAATTCTGACAACAAACGCTGACTGCGCTCCCATGGGCGAGAAGCCGTTGCTTGCTGACGATTCTTTTGCATGAACGAAGCAGCCAGACTCCAAGGCTCCAGACCGTGCGGCAACCGCGCAACCTCCAAGCCGCCGTCCTTCAAAAGGAGTTGACCGCATGCTCCCAGAAGCCAAAGCCAGCTTTGCGCCATAGACCACATCAGAAACGAAATTCATCGCTTGCCCAAAGGATGCGGCAAGCTGAGTCCATCTACAAGAGCTTGGCGATCGAGAGTCTTCAAAAAGAAGAAGCAGCCACACCCAAACACTTCTCTCAAGTTCCTCTGGACATGCTTCAAAGACTTGATCGCCGACTTCTGGAGTAGCGCACTTCCGGGTGCTGGGTGCTTCTCTAGGTGCTCAGCCATCCGCAAGGAGGAAACCCGAAGGACTTGGGATGTTGCAAAGGAGGGAAGTCAGAGAGGGGGGGATAGGTGGAGATAAAATTGATTTCAAGGGACATCCCCTCCAAAATGGTTGGTGGAATCGTTCATGTCCAAAGCCATGCATTGGGCTGGCTCACATGGGATTTTGCCAACACCCGCTCGGTAAAAATCGCGACCCTATGGCTCGCCACTTTTCCGAAGGCGCCTCCAAAAAGGCGCAGAGCCCAATGGCTTCGGCCAACTTGAACAACCGGACCCCAGTCTACTTGGCTGGAATTAGGACAGCACAAAAATATCCTTTTTGCCTGGTTAGTGGAAAACCAAGGGAACCCCAAAAAAGCAAAAAAGTAAAAAGGGGAACTAATTCTGGGGAAGTTTCTTTGGGGAGACCAAAAGCAGGCGGTGAAAACAATGGTGGCTTCAACATCTTGAAACCGGTTGGCCCACCTTTCAGGAGCTCCGCTAACACAAATCCCCCGCTACCCCCGGGTCCAGCGCCACAATCTGCAGCAAACCTTTGAAGGAGGTGTTGGCAACGTGGCTGTGGAGCACGGCCACCTGCATGTCCAGAAATCGACTGCCCTGTTTAGGGCGGTTGCCCTTGCTTCAACCGTCGAAGTGGGGAACTCTGCCCCCTTTGCGAAAAAGCTGCCATGATAGCAAGAGGGTCAAAACACCCCACAGAAACCGACCATTTGCACTCGCTCCTTGACCCAAATGGCGCCCTGCCATGAGCCGCGACAAAAAAATGTGGGAAGGTACCAGGGGTCGATGGGCTTCAACCTGACTCGAGCTTCTAAGCATTGGCGGAGTAAGCCCCCCTTAGCCAAAAGATGTATATGCTCGGCGCGTTCCAGTACGCATTGAAGAACCAAGTTCGATCAGTGCCATGTTGTGAAATGGTGACAGCTCCTTATGTGGGTCATGATCATGGCTCGTAGGGTCAAGACGACAGGGTGGCTTGGCATCGAGTGCGGAAAGGTTCCAACGCAAAGCACCAAAACGAAAGAAGTCATGGCTAAACGCATCACTTTAGAGATGCCGAAGTGACGAAACCTCCCTCCTTGCGTGCCGTTTGGGTCTATACTTCTGCGCACAAACCTGTTTTTGTGGAAATGGGAAACCGCAGAAAAGATTGCTAGTGGACAACAGAGGGAACTCGCGCTCAATTGGCTTCAGGTCGCTGGCACGCCTTGGCCTTCTTCGGGAACGTTTTGCTGGTGTGGCCATGGGTCAATAGCCAAATCGTACCCCCAGTGAACATCCCATCCCAATCCCCACTAAAATCCCGACTAAAATGGGTGGTGCACTTACCCCAAAATGGGATCCCATTGGTTTTGGGGGGGGGGATCAAAAGGTCTTGTACATGGGATGACCACTGGGGAAAACCAGTAGCAAAGATGATGCTTCCCACTAAAACGGGCAAAGTTACCCATAGTCATTTGGTCGCCAGTAATATTGATCAACCCCCCATTTGCAAGAGCTCTAAAGCAGCTAGTGATGTTCTTGACGCATCTCTGCAAGTTGGATCCTCCCCTTACCCGCCTGGCCGCGCTCCAGGCCCACCGCATCTGCCGCAAGGGGCAGTGGCTGCGCCGCCTGAAGACAAGAATTTCCGCCCTTCTGACGCCGTTGACGTCTGAGTTCTACCCAGATCCAAACACGTCAAAAGCAACAACCATCGACCATCAACCGCTTTTGGATGGGAAAAACCGTTAAGGATCCAACAGCGTCATGCCCAAACATTGGCGTGGGAATGGCGAGAAAATGGGCTGGGCATGACACCGGCGTGCATGCAAGCTCGACTTGCAGGGACGGGGGATGGGGGGCATTTTAGGGCTCAAGCGCGCGATAGCATCCCACTCGACTTAGAGAGAGGTTGCAAACTTCGTCCAAGTTGTGTCATCACGTGGATTTTGAACTTGCGAGGACTGTGCTGCGTCTAAGCTCGGAAAGAAGGATTCCTTCTAAATGGTGTTCAAAGGGAAGCAAAGGAAAACCAGCCTTCCTAAAGAATGCGCTCTTTTGAGGGAGAAAAAAAAACATGGACATCACCCTGAATATGGCAAATGGGGCCATAAGGCCTCTTGCACTTTTGCCAGCAACTGTCCCTCCTGAACTTGTGCCAGTCCTCTGTCCAAATCAAGGCCCAACAATGAAGTTGCAGAACGTGCATGTCCAACGGAAAAGTTGTTCCATCACTAAAACACTGCTGAACAGAGCAGCGTCTACTTTTAGCAACTAAGCACGAAAGAGGTTCCTTGACTAAAGCACTGGGCAAGCAACCACTTTTAGTCAACAAAGACTGTCATGATACTATCGAATGACTTGGAAAACGAGAGTTTGGAAACCACGCCGTCCACTCTTAGTCGTCGGAAAAGCATTGTCGGTTGGCATGCTTTCTAGTCGACTAAATCAACAGACATCTGACGAATGCCTCAAAAATAAAATTGGGGAACGCAAGGAAAGGCTGCTTGAGTCAATGCAAAGCGTCGAATCGTTGCACTAAACCCAACACGAAGCATCAGCCAACATCACCAGCATCACCAACATGATTGGCCTTCAACTACCAGGTTTCTTCACAAACAATGGGCACATGCTTCCATATGTGCAAAGCACCCAAATCCCACAGGCGCTAGGGAAGATGGTTGAGCAGGATTTCTTGAGCATCACCTCTTAGGGGCGTTCATCCAAAAAACGGAACCAACTACAAGGTGCTGGGGTTAGATAGCACTAGTGCCACAACTAAACCACGATAACACACACACACAGACACAACATGACACCCACATGCACAACAACCACATTCAAAACACCTATAACACACACACACACACATACACAACAAACACCAAATGACATAACATAGCATAACACAACTCAAAATAACATAACATAACATAACATAACATAACATAACATGACATGACACAACACAACATGACACAACACAACATGACACACACACACACACAACAAACAACAACCACGTTCAAAACACCTATACCAACAACACACACACACACACACAAACACGTACAAAGAAACTACCACCAAAACGGGAAACACAAATCCACCCCGTGGCCGCCTCTGGCGCGTCCAGGCGCCAAAGCCTTGCCCCCTCCAGGCGACGCTGCAGCACGCAGCCCTCAACGACCTGCAGAGGGATAGGGTACCGTTGAGTCCCCATGGACACGAGCTGGGTGTATTCCTATTCACAAACCAGAAACCTATTCCTATGAAACCTATTCCTATGAAACCATGTTTTGTAGTGATGGTTGTGGTTGACTTTCTGTTTCTTATACTCACATGGGAAGTAAGCCAAATACCTGGCCAAAGCAGGGGTTGAGCCCCAGGCCTTGTGGTTGAAGATGGTTGAATGTCGGCCCCTGATTTGGACAAGTTTCATTTGTGATCTACCCTGTTTCGGTGATTCCAAGGTGATGATTGTGGCGATGTGGACATCACATGGTAGATCATGAAACGAGGTAAGCAAGTAAACCAGACACAAATTACAGCAAGCTGCAGGGATAATCCAGCTTCTCAAATCTCTTCTGAAGGAAACATTTGAATGGACTTGCTTGTTGTTTCCTCCTCTTGGAGGTATGCGGGCCCGGGATGAACCGCTAGCTACTTGATAACCCTCATGCTGGTTGAACACTTCGGGATGCGCTCGGCATCAAAGGAGTCCAAAACTCCCCTGCAACAATGAACCCATCTTTTTCCCCCTGTTTCAGTTCCACATGAGTTCTCAAGAAACGTACGGCGCATTCCCTGATGTTGCGAGAAAGCCACTTCCCATCAGAGTTGGCCCAGGTGATTTGTCGTTACCACCCGCAAAGGGAAATGTAAGGTGTGGGGTGACCACTTCACTTCAACGGAGCTTATCTTATCACAGAACATGTCAACCTCCTCAATTTCCATGCCTTTTGGGATATGTCTTTCCAATTTGGTTTCATGAGCCGTCCCCCCAAGCACAGGAAGACCCCCTGACCCGGTGCCGATGCACGGCCCGAGCCTTCACCCGCGCCCCATCGGCGTCCAGCCGGAAGAGCTCTTCCACCGCACGCATGGCATGAGGCCCGAAAGGCCCTAAGGAGGGCCACCGACGTAGATTCAAGCAGGAAAGCTGCCATTTTCAGATTGTGTTACCCTCCCAACTAACGTGAAAGTTAAAAGTTGGCCCTTTCCAAGAGGAAAGTCTGGACAGGTCTGTGCGCTTCCATGTTGGCTGGTGGGAGGGTAGATTCAATCTTGGGGAGACGGGTTTTTGTCGGTTCCCCTTTTGGTCTTTCTGGCAGGTTCTTTGATGTTCCCGGAACTGTGGGTTGAAAACCCACTCCGGGAAAGAACAGCCTGAAACATACACTATGAATGCACTACTGCACTCCCATCCAAATGTGTGGGAAAGAAACGTTCAGGCTTGTTCAGCCACCTTTGAAGCATTCTCCGCAGCCACAAGTTCAAGCGGGAAGTTGGAGCAAGCTTGAAGGTGTGGCTGGACAAACATCGATGCTATGATATTGAGGAAGGCTATGCCCACCATCCACACCCGAGAACTTGCAGCCCGACGGACCCCAGGGTGACTGGTCTAAACGGTGTCCATTTCTCCCTTGGAGATAGGGACGCGGCAACTTTGGCACTCTCGGCACAAGAGCTTGGCTTTGATGCCGACTGTGTCTGCGAAATGCTGATGCCGGGTGTGTTTGCTTGAGCTGACTCCACAGGCTGGGCCAATTTCAATGGTCTCCGCTAAGCCAAAGGCTAGCTGCAAGGCCTTTGGTTCGGGGCTGGGTGCGCGCGGAATGGCGACGAACCTCTGATGTCCCGGCAGATCTTTGTTTTCATGCGACTTGTTGGCTGGTTTCACGCTTCAAGCGGAAAACCTTCACCTTCACTTCCCGTGGAAGATCCCCCTGAGCATCAACTTGGGGTGCAATCCTGGGGTTTACATCAAATCGGACTGCAGCTCATCTCTCTAGAAAATCTCGAGCAAGTGTCTCAGCAGTCCAAAAGATAGAGCCGGTCAGGAGGTGGTGGCTTGGTTGGCTTGTTTGGCTGGCTGGCGAGCTGGCTGGCGAGCTGGCTGGCGGGAACGGCTTTTTGTATCTGCAAAGCCTCGAATGAAACCAAGTCTCATTTCTTGTGTCAGCCGAGCGACAGCCGAAAACTCCGAAACAGGTGGTTTCTTCGTGGTGCCCTTTGAACCAACCTGAAAAAGGCACCCTCGAAAAACTCACGCCCGAGTCATCCCTTCCGGGTGCCAAGAAGCAGGTGGTGGGGCTGGCCGGCCCCACCGGCGGTTTGCTGGTGGACCAATCATCCTATGTTGAGACTGCCAAGGGTTTACAAGCCTCACATTAACCCCGCACAACAAAGAGTGGAACACCTTAAAGTGGCCCTGAGGAGAGTGTTGGGCGCTGCTCACCGGGACATCGACCTCTTGTGATTTGGAGGACAGGAGTGCCAAATCCAGCCACCTCCGGACCTCCCAGTGTCGGACATCCGCCTTCTGTGTAACTCCGAACTCCTTCACGAGTTGACTCGACATAGGTTGAGGACCAATAACCCGGTCCTGAGGACCGCAACCTGTGACAACCCTGCAGTGATCTACTCAAAACCGCAATTAATAAACTCCCGCTAAACATCAGGCCCATGTGCCAGGCATCAGAACTCGCTGGTCATAGCCGTAGTCAACATCTCTATATAAATATAAATGGGCCGTTTTGACCATGGCAAAAACGAGGCCATCCGGAAGCAGGGCGCACTGGAGTGCCGCCGCTTCACGCGGAGGTGCATGGAGTCCTGCATCCGAATCGCTGTCGAAATGGCCCGGGGATGTTGAAATCGAGCTCATTTCAGTGAGTGAATCACCCGAAAGGGGAAACTGCCAACTGTCCAATTGGCAAAAACGAGAGCTTGTTGTTGTTCAAAGGTTATTCCATGGGTCATTCGAAATTTGCCAAGATCCAATCAGCCGCTTCAGGGACCGATTTTCGGGTGACGTGAATGAACTGGTCCGGAAAGCCCTCTTTGTGGTTGCCGTGATCCGCAAAATACAGGGCGTCCCTTTGATCAAAGCATCGGTAAGACCTTCCCCCCTATACTAAAAAGCCTATTGCATTGTGCCTCCCGGAGCCCTCAGCGAATCAGTGTTCTGCCAATATTGAAACCGAGGCTAAACCAACAAAACAACCAGCCAACCCCAACTGTAGTGAAACTGAAGGGTACGCTGCATGTTTGCCCTCAAAAACACATGCCGAAGTGCAAACTCTGGTTGGACCCTGGAGGGATTTCGTTGTGAGTTGACAAATGACTATTGGCTGAACACTTCCAGTTGAAATGTTTATGTAGCGCGTTCCGAGTTCGATTATTTCCGTGGCAAAGGATTGCTTCAGCAAGGACCAAGTGGAAACTGCCGGCAGGCCCAATCCGCCGATATGCTCTTCCTAGTATAACATTCATCGCCTGATGGGGCAGGGTTGGAAAATGATTGCCCTCAAACACAAACACACCCGTGTACCAACAATACAGAGGGTATATGGTTCAAAGCCTTCTAGTCTGCACCTTAAATCATGCATGACAAGCGGCTTTGAAAAAATGGAGCCGCGGTCCTGGATATCCTCCAAACGCACGCGCAAGTAACCGCGGTATTCACTGGCTCCCTAGTAGAAAAGCACTTGCTCTTCCCTTGTCTAGGTCCTCCAGTAGAGAGGTTAGAACAAGGGAACCCTTTTTTCTGAAGTCTACTTTTGTAGGGGAACCCTCCCCCAAAAAAAGGGGTGAGAAAGGGCACCTAGCTGGGGGACCTAGTTGTAGTCCATCTCCCACCCGGCACCCACCCGTCATGGGGCGTCATGACGCCCGACATGTTGCCCAGCGCCATGGCTTCCGGACCTGGCCGCAAACCACAAACCGGGCACACCTGTTGACCCTTCGCCTTGGTTGCTTCACTAGTAACCACAGGAAAACATGAGAATGGCAAAGAGTAGTGGGTACTCTTAGGGCCTTTGGCCCTATCAACTTCCGATTTGGCCGGCTTCTTGTTTACCGATTTGTTCTGTGGGAGGATCCAGTGAAACTTCTCGGCGCCCCCAACCAGTCCACTAAGGTCAACCTGGCAGAAATCAGAGGGAACCATGGGGTCAAACCCGGAGGTTCCCCACAAAGACGGAGTGTTCCTGCTACCGTGGTCGCAAAGATCACGTGTAAGGCTTGCTTTTTTCTCCGGGGCCTCCCACCCAAAACCGGGGAGCTCGGACGAAAATGGCCCAAGGGATTTATGAGTCCCCGGTGAAGATGTCAAGCTCATCCACCCATGTACCCATGTGGGTGTGTCTTAACATAGGCGACTCAAAAAACGGGTTGGTGGCCTTTTGCTTTGCCGCAAAAAACCAACCAGAAGGGAGTTCCCCAGAAGACACCCCCAGGTCCGTTCCCAGAAGTCCGACCTCCGGCCTTCCGCAGGGCCCGCGGGGAGACGACGCGGTCTCCCCAAGCGACTCGAAGCCAGTGGCCGGCCAATCCCGGGCTGGAGGCCAACGAGCCTCTGGCCCTTCACTCGGAAAAGATCGGCAAAGACTTGGCGACATGCAAAAAGAGAACGCTTTGTGTGTGGTCAGTTGATTCTAGAAGAAAGAAGAAGAAGAAGAAAAAAAAAGGAGTTGGAATCGTTTCAAAGAGATTGCCGGTTCCAGGCCGACCCCTCGCGGATCTTTTGGCGTCAACGTTCGGGAATGATTGGCATGCTCATAAAAGGAACCCAAGAAGGTCCTTCCCCAAGCGGAGATTCAGTTCCTAAAAGTGGTGGGTGCTTCGTATGTTCCACGATGATCTTGGGGGGGGGGGGGGGGGTGTGAAAAACTGTCCCCAGGTTTGGTCAATTCAGGACCCCGTTTCTCGACTTCCATTGTACTTTGGTGTCCCATTTGCGAGACTAGCTCCAATAGGCAACGCGAATCACTTCTTGGAACCACTTTAAAGCAAATCCCTATGCCCACTTTGTCGCTTGAAGTGGATCCACAAATGCGCCAGAAAATTAGAGGACTCCCAACAGCTCAGGTCGCCTCGTACGAATACCCTAAAGCGACGAGGGGAATTACCCCAAAAGATGTGAATGCCGAAATGCCATTCAGAAAAATGCAATCGCCTTTTTTTTGTGTCACGGATGGGACCAAGCCAAGTTTCGGGGGCTTGGCTTCAAGCCAAAGGCGTGAGTATCTTGGGTAAGGTCCCTTTTCTGGGTTGCTTGGTTGAGGGTTGGTAAAAAGAACCCGGAAAAGGGTTGGTAAAGGCCGGTTTTCTGGGTTGCTTTAAATTCAAAACGGAAGGGTGGTAAAAAGGAAAGCCACGGCCAACCGGCGCTTTGCTTGTGGCAGGTGGGAAGACCTGCCGGTCCAGGTGTCAATCCGGGCAGTGCACAGACTCCCCGAGAGAACGCCCACAAGATGCCCAATTCCCATCGTGTGCATCAAAACTAGGGCGACCCCAAAATGGGTGGTTTTCCCGTTTGTTTCCTTGAAAACCACCCAACGAAGGTGCCCCTTTAAAAAGATATATCACATACGGAGGCGTCACCCCTGAATTCGGGGGCCTCAGCACCAAAAGGAACTTGTCTTTTCAGCACTGTGAGAAACTCGCCGCACGGGTGAAACAGGAGGCTGCCGGCCCTCCCAGAACGCCGCTCTTGAACCGCTCAAATGTTTCGTTCCGTGGTCCGGGAAGGGTCTGACTCAAATGGCTCCGTCCGAAAAGGGGTTCGTCTGGTGCTGCCTTGGCAGCAGGAACGCCGGGATCTAGCTGCCAAGCGGCACATTGAGTCTTTGTTGACATTCCAAAAGGGTGTATATCAGAGCTGCCTAGCTCAAGAAGAAGCAATGTTGTTCCTTCCGGCTTGGCTTCTGGCCATCTGGCGCACGGGAGAACCCTGCATCTCATTCTGGATCTGAGGCGGGGGGCTTGAGGCCACTAGGCCTTTCACTCGCCGGAAGATGTTGGACGTGCAGAAGTCTGCGCTTGAAGCCTTGAACAAACCTTGCCCAGCAAATGTCAAAGCAGCTTTGGAGTCAGTTATATAGTCCTTTGCCCTCTGCATATGCATGTGTATATATTAAAATGCACAT